TAATATTGCTAATACAAATTCAGAAGATTCTACAAATATTATTGTTATTGCAATTGATATTAACTGTAGACCCTTATATCTTTGTTTTTTTTTAGTATTTCTTGTGAAAACCTGAAACTTATAATAGTAAATCATTATATGCAGCTGCAGGTTTTCATATATAATTTTTATTTAGTTTATGTAATTTGATGCTTAATTTTGTTTAATATTTGTATAACTAAATGATTTTTTATTTTTTATAAAATTAAATTAGCTAGTTTTTGTATATATTTTGTCAAATGGTTTAAATTTGTATATTATTATTATAAATTATTTACAAAAATGATGATAAAATCTGTATAAATACTTATATTTGTATTAAAATTGTTATACTAATTTACAATCTTTATACAATTTTTATACAAAGACTTGTTACTAGATTATTGTTATAGTTAATAATATAACTAATATTGCTAGTATAGTTAATAATACTATTCTAAATATTATTGTGGTTAATGATACTGTTAGTATAGATATAAATTTTTCTGTTGCTGTTAATAATACTACTGTAGTTAATGATATTACTAATATAGATGAAGATAATAATTCTGTTGTTATAAATATTATATTTATAGTTGTAGTTGGTACTGTTGTTTCTATTAATTCTTCTCTATTAGATTGAAAATTTTTTATAATCCTTTTAATTGTTTGAAATCTGTTTAAATATTATAAGAAATATTTCTTAATATATATAATCTCTCAAGAAATATAATCAGATAAGATAGCAGATACAAAAATAAATCAATTTTTAAAAATTGATTTCTATTTCAAAATCAATAAGAACTTAAAGATTAATTAATTTTATCTATTTTTTTGTATATTACAAAGAAGTAGTTTTATATATTTATAATCTTGCAAGCAAATAAAATCAGTGGTTTTATATATTTATTTTAATATTTGTGAAGATAAATATTATATTGCATAGGTTTAGGTCGCAGATAACTTGTCTGAGCCTCTAATCTTAATATCTTATAGATATAGAATTCAAATATAAATTTTTTCTGTATATTCTACTTGTAAAAAGTTTAACTGAGTTTTAATAAAGATAGAGGCATGGCCTCACCTTTAATATTAAAAAAAAAAATATTATATTGCAAAAATCTAAATAAATCTTATTTATCTAAATTTATTATCTTTATTATACTTATATTTATAGTATTTATAAGTCTTTTAGCTATTTTTTTATCTTTTCTAATATAAATAAATTATTGTTAATATTGTTTAATATATAATATAAGCTATTTTTGCTCTATATCTATTTGTATTCTTATAATTGTTAGTTATAATAATAATATAATGTTTATATACCTATTTTTTCACAGAGAAGAATATAAAGTACAGGTAATAGAAAAATTTTTACTAAGAATATTTTTATATAGTAGAGAGAAAATTAAGTTTAGATATAATTTGTAAAAATCAAAATATGAAAAATACAAAAATCAAAAAATTTTCTGAAATAGAAGAATCAGATATAATATAAAAATTATTTTTTTTTGAAAAATTACTAATAACTTGAAATTTTGTTAATAAAAAAATTTTCTATCTTTTTTTAACTTTAATTCTAATTTTAAAAATATATTTTAGTACTGATTTTATTTTATTTTTTGATTTTCTTTTTAGAAAATTTGTATAAATCATCCAATTACATTGTAGATTTTTACATATATCTAAACTTATTTTAAGTAATTTTATTTATAATACTTACTATATCTTTAATCTTAAACTAACTTTAATCTTAATTTTAATTGCTATATTTTAAACACTTCTAAAAAAAATTAAAAAATAGATTATTTAAATCTTTTGTTTAATTTAATTATTTTAATTTTGATTTTATATACATCTAATCTATCAATCTAATTGGCTAAAAATTATATTCTAAAAAATTTTGTATAATATAAAAATTATATATTTTTATAGCAGAAACTTGTATTTGATAAATTTTAAAATAATTGTTATACAAACTATTTATATAAATAATTAAAAATTTGATATATAGTTGTAGTCTGAAAACTGGCAATTTTATTATTAACTTAACTATAATAGAAGGTTTTAAAATTATCAAATAAATAATATATTTTGAAAATAAGTAAAATTTTTTAATAAAATTTTTACTATGTTGAATTATAAATCAGAAAAATAAAATAAAATTTTTTAATTTTAATTTTAAAACTCCTAATAAATTAAACTCAAGATACTTCTATTTATAAGTAAAATTTTTTTGTTTTAAGTATTTCTAGTAAAAAATCTTTTTTAATCATTTTTAATTACTTTTCTCAAAAAGTTTTTATAAAAACAAAGATAAGATGTTTGGTAATTGGCAAAGTTTATTGAGCTTTTACTATATTTAAATTATAAAGCAAAATAATAAATTGATAAATTGTTAAACTTGAGTATTATACTAATATAAAACTTTATACAGTATATTTATTAAATATGCTAAGCAGGGTGTAGTGACTTAGTGAAGTGGTTAAGTTGTCATACCCCCAAACGGTATGTTGGCTAGATAAAGGTTCGAAATCTACTGATAATGAATTTTGAATATTCTACTTGTACAATGGCTACTGTTTTTCAATAATCAGTTAGAATAGGATCTTTGTAACCTTGGTGGCACCAACAAGATTGGGAGATCATGGAGTATTTGTATAATGTATAAGTTGTACAAATATGTTCTCAGATCATATTAATCCAAGGAACTGGAAAAGATAAATGCCCGCTTAGCAAGACCTGAGTAAAGAGATAATACAGATCTTTAACAGTACTATGTAAAAGATTATTACTGGAGAACTGGCAAAAACTAAACAGAACCAGTGTATGGCAAGGCACTCTATCAACCAGGCCACCGAAACTGAGTCTATTAGAACCGGAGAAAAAGGACCTGCTTAGTTGCAAATACTAGAGGAAAATCCTTTTCAGATTATCTGGATTGGTAGTTTGAGATAGTTGGAGATACAGTTGATAGTCTGTAAAGTAGGTACCAGGGTTTGGGTGAACTCTACAAGGGGGTAGTAGATAACAGTAACGGTCTCGGCTTGCAAGTACTTGTCTTCAGACTTGGCATAAGTTACTGAATCTAGATGAATCTGAATTGTGGGTTCAGACTGCTCTAATGTTGATCCCTCAAGGATAAAGTAGTCCTAAGAAAATAGATAAAATATCTAAGACTTCTTAAATATCCTGGTGATACAGATTTAGTTACATTACAGAGGAGTTAAATAGATAACACCTGTAGTTGAGTTACAAGTATGGTATCTAGTGTAGAACCTGTATAATGTATAGACGGACTACTTAAATTAGATACCAAAAGTATATGTATGGCTAGTATGTACTTTCTAATATAGAGGTTCCCTAGAGAACTCTTCGCTATATACTGTATATCTGAATAAAAATCCTACAGTGTGGGACAGCAAAATGCATCCAATATTTATTAATAAAAACTTTAAAGTGTTATAACTTTTTTAAACAAGCTAAATCAAAAAACCTCTAACAAATTAATAGATTTTTAGATAAACTATATTTCTGTTAGAGGAATTTTTTTTATTCTTTGTTTTAAAAAAGTTATAAAGGATTAAAGTTTATATGAATTTAAAAAATTGGTGTCTAATATAGAAAAAAAGAAAAGATATATATTTTTTTAACCAATTAGAATCAATTACACAAAAATTAGCCAATCAAAATTGATTATATAAGCATCAAAAATTGGTGCCTATATGTATGGATTGGATGTCTTATGCTGTCCCACATTGTAGCTTCTAAGAAGGTAGACATTAAAAAAAAAAAAAAAAAATTAAATATGCTAAGCAATATAAATATTTTAACAATTTATTTTATCTAAATTAAGATATACTATATATATATATTATATTATACAAAAAAGATAATATATGAAGGTTTTTGTAGATTTTATAGTTATATATTTTAGCTTCTCTATTACTACTAATTTGATAAATATATTTTAGCTATTTCTAGACTTGTTCTTAAAATAACTCTTTTGGCTTGAATATTAAATAACTTAAAAAGTCTGTTAAAAAAATGCTTAACTCAAGAAAAACTGTTTATATATTTGCTTCTCAGTATATTATATCCAAAATGCTTAAACTTTATTAATAACAAGCTATTTCTAACTATAAAAGCTAAATCTAGTATTTACTTTGTTATTTTTTATAAAATTTTACTATAGTTTAGTTTTGTTATTATTAACTAGAAAATTATCAAAAAAAGATATTTTAAATATTTTAAAATATCTAAATTTTTAATAAAAAAAAAACAATAAAAAACAATATTTATTCATAAACTAATTATAGTATAGAATTTTAATTATATGGACTGAGAAATGTATATGGAAATGATTTATAACCAAAAGCTTCTCCCTAGTTGATAATATTTCTTAAATTATAAAATTAAAGATGATCTTGTGATTCAAATTCATCTAAAATATCTATGCTACTACCCAATATTCTTCTTTTTATTATTATTAGAGAATCAGATAGTCTTTTATTATTTTTAGCATGTGATACAATTTCATCTAAACAATTATTTATGAGAATAATTCTTAAAAGTTCTGGTTTTATATTTTTTTGGCTAGTCTTATATAAGTCTATAAAATAAAAATATCAGTATTATTATATAAATATTAGTATTGTTATATAAATATCAGTATTTTATATAAATATTAGTATTATTATATAAACTATATCATTATTTATAATAATATCCAATATTATCTAAAATTCTGTTTATTCGCTTAAAGAAAAAATACCAAAATGAATATAATAGTCCATAATCTATACAATTTTCACACAAATATAAACTTAAATAAATATTAGATATAATTTTTTCAAGACTATAATGGCATTCTATTAACTTTGCTATATTTAATAATCTTTGATGAGCTTTATTAAATAAATCCTTATCTAATATTCTACAAACTAACAAATTATATGCTCTGACAAAGTTTGTAAGAATATGCTAGTCTAGTTTTGTTAATAAGTTCCAAGTAATGGTAGTAGCATATATCAATATAAATATTTGCTACTGGTCTGCTATATATCTAAAAAATTCTTCTCCTATAGCAATTTTATAAAGAATTCTCCCGATATCTGATAGAATTTGCAATTTTTTTGCTCTTTTATCTATAAGTTTAATACTAACAGAAGTTAATTTTTCACTATCTATCCAAATATGCATAACAATTTACTTTGCAATTTCTAGAAATAAACAATACATTGGATCTACAATTGCATATTTGATTGGGTTAAAATAAGAAAGACGATGGAGTTCTGACTATTTTACCAGTTTTTTAGACAGATGATGCTTTTTTTGATCTTCAGTCTTGCATTGTAACTATTTATATACATCATGTTTAATTTTATTAATATTACGCTTCACAAACCAGTTATCTATATCTTCAAATCCTCCAAAATTAGATTGATGTCTAATATCATATTGTGCATGTTTTTTATATTGAAAATATGCAATCTTTGCTAATATTTGTTCACATAACTTTCTAGCAGCTGGAATATCACATGAGTAGCATATAATAGCATATTTAATTTTTTTGCCTATAGAAGATTCATATATGGGGATTTCTATTTTACTTTACAATTCAAGTAATTGATTAATCAA